CAGTCATTTGTGAAGGGGAATTCTTAATCGTTTTTTGTATTTTTTTATAATTTCAAGATGAGCAGGTCTCTTCGCTCCCAGTTCATTTATACTAAACTGACACTCTTGCCATGTCTTTGATCACTTGTGTGCAAGCCAAAACAACGCTTTTCATGATGAATATGTTAAAATAATTGTGGCAAGGATTAATCAAAATGTAATGAACAGTCTCCCCACTATATGCACAGTACAAGCATTGGAAATGTTATTATTCACGAAAAATCAGGCCAAAATCAAGTCTCATATCAAAATGTGTGTATTTCAGGTCCATTCCTTAGGTTGGAAATTGGTAGTTAAATTAAATTGGTAGTGTCTGTATCTTGATTAATGTGGTCAGGGACTTTTAAGTTCTAAAATTAGATTTATATTATCTACAATGCACTGGGAAACATGTGTCTACTTCATTTGCATCCTTCAATCGTAATCAAGGGAAAACAAAATGTGTGATATCGATTTAAAAAAAATCCTTTTTATTTCCTATTTTCTTGTAAATCACTTAGCAAATCTTTACTCTGTTCTGTCCTGTTAAGCTAAATAGCAATGCAGGACAATCACTGAGTGAAACATTACTGTCTGCTGCCTTCACCCCCCATATAGAAAGTAAATGGCAAGCACATTAGTATGGTAGACGGCAATATTTATTTCTTTTATAGTGGTAGTACTGTACTGAGCCACTACAAGAGGACAGTGATAGAACAGAGGTAATATAACACACATTAAAGCTAGCACCCTTTTATAACTGGTGAATGCAGATGTTAAGGTGCTTTATCCTATTCACATGTCTAAGGAGAGGAGTCAATTAATTCTAAAATGGGTGACTTTTATTCTTTGCCAAGCATGCATAATGATGTGTTCATTCTCCAACCCTTCAGCCACCTATCGTCTCTGCACTCCCTCCTTTCCTTTCCACCCCATGTGTCTCATGCTCTGGCCGTTTCCCAATTGCGAGGAAACTGGCTTCCAAGCAATATTTCAAGGATACTGGACTGTTCCAATCTCCAGCATACTTGGAATTCCACCAAGGCCACGTCCTTGGTTTGGGGGTAATTTCGAGGCTGAACATGGGTAGACTTTGCGTCCTTCAAATCCCCACAATGCTTTGCGCACGGACCAATTTCAAAAAGCCTTGCGGAGAATGGCTGAACCGACGCAGCACAGCACACATTTAAATGTAAGTATGTAGTGGCGTAGAACATGTGTTGGTAAATATGTTACTTTGTTGCATTTGTTATCACCAAAAATGTGTTCTGTGAAAGTAAAGCAAGTTCATAATTAGACATCGTGAGGTATTTATTTTCGGTACAGTTTATGTTGAAACCGTTAGACTTTCCGTTTTCCGAAGCCGTGGCTTGGAAGCATACTTGCTTCGTTTCTGAAGGAAGTGACTTGGAAGTACGCGACTACCAAGCNTCCTTTATTAGTATATAAGTGCTTTGTTAGTAATTCTATCGCTCGAAGTGGAGTCCAAAGAGATGAGTTTTCAGTCTGAAGAAGATGTGTAAGCTATCTGCTTGCAGATAGCTTACACATCTTCTTCAGACTGAAAACTCATCTCTTTGGACTCCACTTCGAGCGATAGAATTACTAACAAAGCACTTATATACTAATAAAGGACTGGCTTATCTAAAGCCAGTTGAGTAGCACTTGAAATGTTTGGCTCTATGAAACCTGATGTACTTATATGATTCTGTTTTCTTCAAGGTTGTATCTTCCTGGTCGAATGTACTTACTGTAAGTCGCTTTGGATAAAAGCGTCAGCTAAATGCAGTGTGTGTGTGTGTGTGTGTGTGTGTGTGTGTGTGTGTGTGCGTGTGCGTGTGTGTGTGTGTGTGTGTGTGTGTGTGTGTGTGTGTGTGTGTGTGTGTGTGTGTGTGTGTGGACCTTGACATCAGTCATCAGACATGCTGCAGCCTGACGGCCTCTGCACACACACATTCCAGCACTAACATATTCATACCCACTTGTTTGTTTGTTCGGGATCTGCGGAGCAAACAGACGAGGGTTGAAGTGCGAGAGAGACATTTAAAACTGGTTAGGTTACTTATTTCTTGATTCACTTTCACAACACACACTGCTGAGTACTTATTGTGTGTATGAGTGTGTGTTCATATACTGTGTATAATGTGTACTACATATATACTCGTATGGTAGTATTCATAGTATGATCACCCTCTGTATAATGTGTACTACTCAGATATTATCTCAGAATCAGATTAAATGTCAACAGATTTCACATAACTTTATTAAGTTAGTTGAACGCAATAATATTAATTTGAACCTAATATTTGTGAATCTGTTGACATAATACTTCAATAAAGTAATTATTTCAGTTTTTTCGTTGTACTTTTAGCATCTCCGGTGGTGACTAGCCTATATAAACACTGTTATCGTCTTCCCAGCAGCAGCATGGTTCTGTGTTTGTTGTTATTGACGCTGTTACAACACACACAGTCAACACACTGTCTGTAAGGAAACACAGGCGCCGACACACACCTTCACACACTGTCCGGATTTTCTCTTGGAACGTTTTTGGGACTCTCCCGGACGTGTTTCACCTGGCAGCAAGATCCTCGATCGCTCTCCGCTTCTCTAAAGACTGAAACTCAATCTGTCAAGACTACGCCTTTCGCCCCGGGCTGAAATCACACCGCAAACAAATCAACACTTTGGAAAGAAAAGAAAATAACACATGAAACCCAATGAAATCATATTTTATTGTATTTTTAGAGACAGTATCTGAAATCAGCTCATTGATTTATGGCTATTCAGACGTAGGACATGCCAGAAGATGAAATAAATCACTATCAAAAATGTATCCTGCAGGAAAAAATCTGATGAAATCTTTGATAACATTTCTTCTGTCAATGCTGATTTATTTAAAATGTGTTGTTGGTGTTAAACGGCTAACTTGCTTTCACACCAACGCCATTCCCATTCTAGCTCCGTGCTAGAACTTTTCTGGTTTGGAACCAGTTTTTATTTTCAGCCCCCGGTCTGTTCACATCGCCCAGAGCCCGACTGGTGCGTCATAACGTCACCGTTTACGTCGCTGATTTTCTCCCCAGCGGCGCTCACTACAACAACAACGGGGGACTGCGTCGGGTCGATGATCGTGTTGCTTTTAATCACACGAAGTNACGGCTCACTTGCTTTCACACCAACGCCATTCCCATTCTAGCTCCGTGCTAGAACTTTTCTGGTTTGGAACCAGTTTTTATTTTCAGCCCCCGCTCTGTTCACACCGCCCAGAGCCCGACTGGTGCTGCCGCTGCTGCGTCATGACGTCACCGTT